CCCCGCCACATCCGCCCCTCCCTCATCCCCGACACGTGAAGCGGTCAAGCCACAGGGGCCTGAAGCCTCCGTCCCAACCACGCCAAGAGACATCAGTCGGCCGATTACACCACGAGACACCGCTGGTCGGCCGAGCGGCGGCAGGAAGGAGATGAGCCTGTCGCCGTCGCCCAGACTGCCGACAGTGGAGGTGCGTCGGGACGACCGTGCGTCGCGGAAGCGTGTGAGGCGTCCCGTGGCTGACGCGAGGGAGTTTGTGGGTCGGCACATGCTGTCGGCCGACGAGGGCATCCTGAAGGACCTTATGGAGATGGGCTGCAGGAGGGAGGACGCGGAAGTGGCCCTGAAGATATGCAGGAACGAGCTCGTGCCCGCTCTCAACTTTGTGGCGCTGCACTTCGGCCCCCCCGACACAGTGGGCAGCCGCTCACAGGTCCAACGCCTGTTCTCTTCGCCGCCACCGGCCTTCATCGCACCAAACGGCAAGCCCGTGGGTCGCCTGTTCGGCACTGCTCCCGGTTTTCTGCAGCAGGACGTCCCGCTGGAGTACGGGAGTGCGCCGACCCACCGGTCGCTGGCGCCCAGCGAAGAGGTGACAACACAGGGGCTGGCGCGTCGATCCCATGGAGCCTTGCTGGAGGGCTCTATCAGCCGGTCTGACTCGCCTGTGTCGCTGTCCAGTAGGTCGGCGACATCAGGCCCTCCCGACCATGGTGGCTGCGGCAGCGGCGTCATGTCTGATGGTGGTGGCTCCTGGAGTCGGCACGACACTGGCAGCCTGGAAGGGCCCATCTTCGGCCCGGCACACTACCACCCCCGCCAGCGACCTTCACCCATCGCCCCGGCCCCATCGCGGCCAGCCCTCGCGGGCGTGAGGGGCCCATCCCATGCACACCACCACCACCACCATCAGAGGGCGCAGCGGCACCAGCACCAGCGGCCCCTCCCCTCTGAGCGGCCGGGAGGCGTGCGACTGCTCCCAACGGGCGCTTTTCCCGAGCCAGTGGTAGGCGCCAGCAATGGGTTTCTGGGTCCGATTGGTGAGATTGGTGAGGGTGAGGGAGTGTTCAGCATCACCGAGGGCACGGGCGATGCGGGCGTCGGTGACATGCATGGGAGTGGGCCGGCGATGGATTGGTCAGAGGTGGAGATGGCTGCTGACGATCGGGGGAAGGAGAGGGGCGAGAGGGGCGTCGAGGTGATGGAGCCGGTGCCCGAGCTGGTGCCCCTCAATGTCGACCAACAAGATGCAGCAGCCGCAAGACCATCTGGAACAGGTGGAATGGGTGGATGGATGGAGACATGTGCACGAGAGTGCTGTCATGCAATGCCTTGTCTCATGCCGTGATTGATTGATGTTCCTTCGTCTCTCGTGTTTCAGAGGTCCCCAAGAAGTGGATGCGGCCTGCTCCAGCCGCCGCTGCTCCTGCCGGCCCCACCCCCAGCTCCCCCACCCCCACACACTCTGACGGCATCTCATTCGCATCAGTCGAGTCCACTGACACGACCGTCTCGGCCACCACCGGCCCCACGCACCCCGCCAGACCCATTGTGCCCGTGTGGCGGCGGCAAGAAGGCCGGCAAGTGGAAGGCACACCACAAGGTATAATACGCACACCACATACAAATCGACGCACCGACCACGACCACCAACTCATCCCTGCTTCTTATTGTTTTATTTGCAGTCCCGTGGCCCCCGCGGCTGCCGTCGCTGGCCATCCAGCCGTCGGGCTCGATGATCACTTTCCCGGACGAGTCGATGCATGACGCTGCGAGTCCGTCACGGCAAGGGTCACGGGCCATCGCAGAGATGAGTGAGGCCTTCAGGAGTGGGGTCAGTGCCACCGCAAAGGCGCCCTCGTA